TGGACCGAAGAAACAAGCAACATATCCGCGAGAGGTGTTCAATGGATATACTATTCAGGGATGGAATCGTGCGGGGCATGATGCTATTTGCTCATGAGAGGCCAACTGAGGTTTTTGGAATAAGATCAACTCAGAGAGGGGGATTAATAATAAGGTGGAGATTGCCGAGAGCAGGTGATGACTGGCGGCAGCTTAGCACCCATTATGAACACTAGATACCGGACCATACTAGTAACTGGTATAATTCAGCCCGAAGGGCGTTTATTCATGTACCATGTTTCCTTATCTTCCTAACAGTTCAGCATGGGAGGTTGGCCATGTACGGGAGTTTTGAGGGGGGGAGGAATGAGGCGGTCCGCGCCAACGAAGAAGCTGGTATGATCCGCCTCCAGACGGTTCGTGATTAAGAGTGCCTTGCTGTCCAGATATATCTTGTTGTACATTAGCGTGTGATGAAATCTAAACCCCCATCTCGCCACTCACATTCTGCAATAGGCTTTGTATCGTGCAGTGCGTAAGTCGTCGAGAACGGCTTCGCAAAGCAGGTCGATGTCCTTGATAGACATGGTAAGATACAAGCTCATAGGGCCGTAGGACAGGGCTTTAATGGCGCGACTAAAACCAGCCCCAAACCATAATGCTACGTCTCTCTCGTGACGGTCTTCCGACCAAGGAGTGAAGCCGACCCTGATTGAGCAATCGTGGATATCTGAAAATCCAGCAGTTCTGAGTTGTCTTCTCGTTCGCTCTGGTTCCACTCTCATCGAACGACCGTGCCGATCCATGGCGCGCAGCAACTTGTCAGTCCAGTCGACAAGGGCGCATTTGTACGGAATATTGCCGCCCTTGAATCGTGGTTCCCAATCTATTTCTACCTGCTCTAAATATCCGACATTCGGTTTTAAGTGTCTGCCAGTAAATTAGTAACGCGCCGATAGAGGAACATGTTGGACTGTGACTTTCGAACCGATGTATCTTCCTGTACATGTCTTCCCAACAACGAACAGCCCCAAAGAGCGTTCGGACATGTATCAAATCCCAGTTACGTTCCATAGGCTTCCAATCGCTCTCTATGTCAAACTCCATGGGGGGCTCCATGTTTGCCGGGATCCTAGTCATATTAATGAGGGTTACCCCCAGGCGGTCCGCAGCTCGTCTTGCTCACCTTTCGGGTTGAATCATATTCATGTCTACCCCGAGTACAGACGCTCGTGGCAGTGCCCTAGATTGAACGCGTCGGGCAACATTCTTTGTGCAACACCCAGTGGACGTACTCGGCCATGTCAATTGACCAGATCCCCGTTCCTGTCCCGAGATCAAGGATCCGTAAGTCTGTTGTGGGATCCAGTGGCGACGAGAACAGGGCATTGCCCCGAGCTGTGAGGAAGAGTTTGTGAAATATATCCAAGCGCTGCAGCTCTTCCTGCACCGAGCATGTTTAGCAGCAGTCCGGTGTCCACA